TTTCATCAGATGGCGTTCAGGGAGATCGATCGAGGGCTTGTCACTGCGCTCGCGGAGAGGTGGAGACAGGAGACGCACTCCTTCCACCTACCTGTTGGGGAGGCGACCATTACGTTGAGGGACATCGCGATACTCACGCGCCTCCCTATACATGGGACTGCGGTGACAGGACATGCGTTAGTCGATCCCATTGGTTTGGTAGCTCGGGTTCTCGGGGTTCATCCAGGTCCCGACGAGATCAAGGGGTCCGGGTTGAGGACCGGCTGCCTCCGGGCGCTGATGACGCCACGGTTTAGAGATACGCTCAGGCGTACTTGTTCTTTCTCATCTCGGGCTCCTTGTTCGGCAACAAGAGTGGGAGCCATCTGCAGCTCATTTACGTACTGCTATTAAACCACGACTGGGATCATATCCGTGGCTACAGCTGGGGTAGTGCCTGTTTGGCGACGTTGTATCGCCAGCTGTGTAGAGCATCCCACCGCGGTATTGGAGGTCCCTTGATTGTGCTTCAGGTAACTCACCTAATTACCAACAACCTATTTCGAAAGCTACTTACCTAGTTTATACTAAACCTAGTTTTGTATTTGTGTTGTGGTTCTGGGCTTGGAAGCATATCCATGTAGGCAGACCAGGTAGGCCTGCTAGAAATCGTCGGGGGGAGCAGGACCGGGACGACCAGTACCAGACGTACGATGCTCCACCGCTCCCTACACCTGATGAGGCGTACGGGTGAAGGTTTGTTACAGTTCATTACTTTAGACTTCATATGGTTTTATTGTGCTAGTTGACAAACTGAAACATTTTTAGGTATTAGGTGGGTGGTCCCCAGACTGACACTTGCGCATGCGGCGAGGGTCTTCCGTACTACCGAGACGCCCTAGATCGACTCAGCGAGGATCAGGTGGTAACTTATAAGGAATTTGTAAACAGTAATTTAATATTATTCTTGTCAATGCACTAATCAGTGTGTGGTTTGAAGTTTAATTTCCTTATTTGTCCAAATCGGACTTATGTCAGTCAAAATAGACCCTTCTAGGCCTATATATATCAAAAACAAGACATTTGGGCTCCATAATGAGAAACGGGGTAGAAGCGATGGCCGGTCGTGGTTAATGTGGTGGTTCATGGTGGTTATAGTGCTGTTGGGGGTGGTTTGAAGTGGCTAAGGGTGGGCAATGGTGGTGGTGGTGGTTAGTGGTGGTCGATGGTGGGGAGGTTGTCAGGGTTTGTGAATGGCGGTGGGGATGGTGGTTGAGGTTGGGGTTGGTGGTGGGGATGGTGTTGGAGGGTGGTGGCTGGATAAGTGGTAGAGGGTGGTGGCTGAATGAGTGTTGGAGGGTTGGAGGCTGAAGATGTGAGGAGTCTGCTGGTTGTTGTGTGTTGCATCCAGCAGAAAAAACGCTGTCTCAGACAACGTTTTATATGCAAAAAAAATTTCACATAAAGCGCTGTCCCAGGCAGCGTTTTATGTTCAACAAATAAACGCTGCCTCAACCAGCGTTTTATGTGCAAAAAAAAAAAAATTGCACATAAAACGCTGTCCCAGGCAGCGTTTTATGTTAAAGAAATAAACGCTGCCTCAGCCAGCATTTTATGTGTTTTTGATTTTTTTTTAAATCAGAATTTACGAAATTAAAAAAAAAAGTTTTGCCACATGAGGTCATCCCCGCCACGTATGACAGAGTGTCCACTTGCACAGGACAGACCGACGAGGAAAGAGGGACGTGAGCTGGTAGTTCATCATGCCCCTTTCATTGACATGTGGGATCATCGGTTGCATCACGTCGTGGATGGTGCGCCTTTCCAAGGTCGGATGGAGTATCACGATCCATACATGGTATGGTACGGGAGCATTACCCGACGCTTCATCAACCCTAACTACACCCCACCCTCAACTCATTATCAGCCAGCTTTTGGAGACATCAGTGGATATGTGAGTTTTAGATGGATTTTTTTTTATCAATTTATAATTTCTGATATTATTAAATTGACTGATTGTTGACTTATGCAGGCGTTTGATATGCTGGCCATACATGATGCACTGGGAGTCTTGAGTATATCATATACCACCATACCGCAAATAGATGAAATTCAAGCGATGACCGTGACTAGCTTACAAAGATATGGTCATGGTCATCTTATCCAGAGGCGGGGCCAATCAAAGCAACAGTATGGTGGAGGCTCCCTCCTACATTCACACCGTGAGGTTGGCCGAAGTAGTAGGGGACAGACTCACACGTCCCCTACACGTCCTCGCAGTTTGGTGAAATTACAAGAGGGACCGTCATCCAGCCAACAAACTCTTCCCCCAGATCCTTTCCAAAACTCCTCCCCCAGATCCTTTCAGAATTGTAACTCAGTACGTTCGCTGTTGTTAGTTTGTTGTAATTGGATTCTCTAGTACGTTGTATACAAACAAATATTATTAATATACTTGGCTTTTTTTAACTAATTTTTTTCCATTTATCAACTTTACTGTATGCATTCATGATTTTTATAGAACTGGTGGATAAAGGTTGTTAAATTGTTGGTTGTAGGTGAACGAAGTGGTGGTTTGTGTTAGTTGGTAGCGGTGGAAGTGGTGGTTGGTAGCGGTGGAAGTGGTGGTTGGCAGTAGTTGAACTGGTGGTGGGAGTGGCAGCAGGCTGCACGTTTTATGTTGAAGATAATAACGCCAACTTGGTTGGCGTTTTATGTTGAAGTAAAAACGCAAACCTGGTTGGCGTTTTATGTTGAAGAAAAAACACCACCCAGGGTAGCGTTTTACCCTTGGCAGAATTTTTTTTCAAATATTTTAGCTAGGGGGTAAAACACTACCCTGGATGGCGTTTTTCCTTCAAGTTTAGTTTGGTAAATAGTTTCGCCACGCTTCTAAAATAGAGTATATTTTCTAAATGGAGCTTAGTTTGGAAAATTTTCCTCAATTGTGTATTGTATACTCAATTATGATAAGTAAAAGGCCAGACAAATCTGAAAGCAAACAAAGCAACATTAAAAATATTGAATTTGATTGACGACTAGAACGTATATAGTTAATGAGATCTTGCGATGCTAAAAAGTAATGCGTGGTTGGTCAAAGAACATTAGGTATATATAAAAGAACCTGGATGAAAAAAAATAACATTATAGACATTTATAAAGAACGCGAGCCTAATATGTTCTTTGAGTTTGATTATTATGTTTTTCGAGTTTGAAGTATATGTTCTTTACATTATACAATATGTACTTTAATGTATGTACATAAAAAAAAATGTTAAATTCAACCATTTGAGTAACCATGAAAAAGAACATGTTCTTCAATGTATTATCATGTTCTTTTTGTAACGACTTTATGTTCTTTGTAATGCTATGTTCTTTGTCAAACACAAACATGTTTCTTTGTCAAACATATGGTTCTTTTTCAAGCACATTCAACCACTTGATTAACCACGAAAAAGAATATGTTTTTTAATGTATTATCATGTTCTTTTTGTAAAGGCTTTATGTTCTTTGTAATGCCATGTTCTTTGTCAAAACACAGACATGTTCTTTTGTCAAACACGTGTATATTCTTTTCAAACACCAGTATGTACTTTTCAAAACACTAGTATGTTCTTTTTTTCACCCATGTTATTTAACATATGCCTAATGTTCTTTCCGGGTGTGCACTATACTATTTTCATTAACTTCTAAGATATTTGTATTCAATTTTTCATATATTAACTTATTACAGTACTTGTTTTGTTTAACCACTGTTACTTATTATTTGATTAATTAATCTAATGGTTGTCTTACATGTTAAATATCTACAGACATGTACAACAATCGGCAAAATTATAATATTTTGTAGGTAATGTTGTGTAGCCCATAAGGCTTAAAATGGTATTAATTTAAGAATAAATGACTATCACATACAAATCAATGTTATCAATTTATTATTTTTATGGGCTAGAGGAATCAGATTCCTAGAGCTTGAGACTGATGCCCAAGCTCTTAAATATATGCTTGAGAACCTCTGTACTACATTGATCACGAGCTGTCCAACCTCATTAACGATATTGTGGAACTGCTTTGAAGGGACTGGAGTGTTACCATCCTCCATGTCAAACGCCAGGCCAACAAACTTGCTGAAATTGGAAGAATGCAGGTTGACGATGATGTTGCTTACCTGTTCTTCTCCCCTTCTGCTTTTACTAAGATTTACATGGAGGAACTGGCCAACACTTTGGCCCTCACTGATTGTGTTGGAAGAATGCCCATGATTGTGTTGCAGCAGTTGCTCATGGGCCTCTCCTAGGCTCCCCTCTGTCTAACTATGATGCTCTTATTTTTAGCTCTTTATTTCAGCTGTTCGTTGCTTTAATTTTCCCTTCTCAGCATCATGGCTACCTCTTTTGACTACAAACTTGGGTTTTTAGGGACGCTCCTTAATCATCCTTATGTAATATAAGCTTCGTTGTTTTCGTTAATAAAAAAGTTTTATTTTTACGTGTTTTATTTTTTTTCATTTTTAGCTTCTTATATGTAAGGGCTATGTATAATATATGAAATTTTGTTAATTATTACCTAATTTAGAGTCAATTTTGAAAATAACTACTCCGTTTCAAAAATAATTTATAAAACTACCAAGTTTCTTTAAATTTTTTTGGTAACACTACCTTTTACAATTTTGCGTCCAAAAACTTAACGGTGCATGTTATAGGGTCTCACCATGCGGTGATTTCTACCGTTTCGGGAGAACGAATCCCGGTGGTACAAAGGAGAGAGAAAAGGAGTAAATCTAACACTAAGATAGAGAAATTACGATAGTCTCCACGAATACGAACTCCATTCCAGAAGTTTATAAAAGACTATGGCGATGTTCGCCACGGATTGCCATTTTCGGAAACCCGTTGGTGACCATTTTCGGTGATCGGGAGAAAAGATGGAGAGGAGATTGAAAGGGGTTAAGTAAACCCTAAGAGAGTAATTAGCATCAACAATTTTAATTGCTAATTTTTTATTTTCAAAAATAATAATAATCTAATTTTAATTAGGTTTTTAACATTTTGTAAAATTATGAAAATGATTTTTTGCTAAAAAGAAAATAAAGGACATTTTTTTTTGTGGCCATGAGTCATCAGGCCTACTTTTGGCTTATGGTGATCAAACTTTCTTTGATCACCTGAGAATCATCCCCAAAGTATACAAGTCACTCAAAGGAAACAGAAAATGACAATTACTCAACAAATATCTACGTTACTCTACTGATGCTCATTTTGTACGTTCCAAACCAGATTGCACGATTCCCCAAATATATAAATAACCAACGTGAACCTGCATAAAATTATGAAAACGTCAAGAACTCCAACTGAGTAAATATAGAAATTTCGTACAGAAGACAAAATAGTTCAAAGACTGATACATTTCGAATAAGTTTCTAGAGCTTACAATTAATGATAGGTGCATTTGTCCCAATTAAGTTAACCATGCATGTTACCCAAACATACGTATTTAACCTGAAAAATTATGCATAGAAAAGGTGTCAATTGTATAGTGTCAATGATCAATGAAACAAATTCTATATTTCTATCCGCAATATTAAACATCAAGAACAGAGAGAAAGTGTGACTGAAAGCCACATTATAAAATTCTGCAACGTCTATAACTAAACCTTGACCTAAGCTACGCGGAACAATGATCTACCTAGTTGGTCTCTTATCATATGTCCGATTATCACAAAGCCTAAAATAATAAATTTTATTAGAGCATATTTGCATGCTTTAGAAAAATTATACAATTTGCTGACAAATCCTCATCTCACTGAGGGATCATGAAGAGCCTACTATTTGAATCCCCATTTCAGGCTGCAATTATAAATGTGAACTCGTTCAAAATCAAAATTTAGATTCATTCACTAAACTAATATGCAGAGATACCCATGCAACTGCTTTTAATCAATTTAATCAGAAATAACCTTTTATTATGCTCTTTCAGTTGACTAGCACAGTTGAAACATTCTTTGGTCCACAAAGCACTGAATTCTTGCAATATATTTTTGAGATCAAAGTCTCTATGCGTAACTTATCTATTTCGCTTAGAATTCTTTACCGGGATTAACACCACATTAACGGATAGAAAATGCCATATAATCATTAATCACAACCAACTGGTTAAATTTGATTCCATAAGGAAAGCTAAACCATATAACTTACTTCAACATATTCATCCATGCCATACTTAGAACCCTCTCGTCCAATACCAGACTGCTTAAATCCCCCAAATGGAGCCACCTGTTGCACATTAGCTGCTCTTAGAATAAAAAAACTAGCTATTATCTTTTGAATACTTTGAAAACGCTTACAGACCTCCGTGGAAACTAATCCCTCATTAACACCAACAATTCCATATTCAAGGGCTTCACTAACACGCCAAGAACGTTGAATATTTGTTGTGAATAAATATGCAGCTAATCCTGCATGTAGGAATTCACAACAAAATGAAAGAAATAACATCAGTCTACACCACTGAACTATGAAAAGACAGTCAGGATTTAGGTTACTGTATATAGATTATGATTTCTGAATAAAAAATGCACACAGATTGCAGAGTAATTTGATACATTGTCTAAGCTACAAGACTATAATCAATAAACAAACCTGCATTGGTGTCATTTGCCAAGCGAATAGCATCTTCCTCCGTTTTAAAGGGAAGAATAGGAGCAACAGGCCCAAAGATTTCCTCCCTGCAATTTTAACCAAAGGATTGGAATGTGATAGTCTACTCCAGAGTCCAATCTACTCATCATTTTTTCATATCAAGATTCAAAGTGGACCAAAAAACAATGTCTAAATCTTAAACCTCACAACAATTATCTATCCTCACATCTAGGTCGCCACAATAATTGTAGGTAGTATAAAATATTCTTGGATATCTTGTTATATAGGTGTCACTGTTGGAGTACCCTTAGCCGGTGCAACCGCACAGGGCCCAAATTTGTTAAGGGCCTCAAATAAGTAACCTATTATATTAAATTTGTTGTGCAATATTATAAGTTGAGATGCTTTGGTCCAATGGTACAATAAAAGTCTTGTAGGTTCCTTGTTCAATTCTCACAATACACATTTTAATAATTTTTCTTACTTGCTCCCTTTTTTTTTTTTTTTTTTTTTTTTTTTTTTTTTTAAACAGAACGCTAAGGTTGCTTTTGAATTTTGATCATCACAAGACATACAGTTTGTATTTTTTTTTTCTCTTTCCAAAAGTTTTGTTAAGAATAAATGCACGATTTAGTTTGTAAATTTTCAAAAATAGAACGCTATTAAAGTTATGACTTGATTGATTATTAATTTTTGTCTTTTCTATAACCCAATAGTGTATTCCCATTTACCTAGTAGCTACTACCCAAGATCAATACATTTCTTTGAGGATATAAATTTAATTAGGAGATACTTATACATCGTTAGTTTCTCTTCCATTTCATTAAAGAGAGAGCCTAGTTTTATCTCAATTGCATAGGGCCTCATGATAATTGGGACAGACTTGGTTGAAGTCTTAGAAATATCAGCAACCTTTGCCACGATGAAGTTATAAATAAATTTCCCTATTTAGCTAAGTAAAATGAATCAAAATTATGGAGACACCTTTTCTTCAAATCTTGTTCCATAAATTTGATGAAAGTAATATAAAGACTCTTGTACACTGTTTGGATAAAGGGATTTGGAAAGAAAGAAGAAGGGAAAGGGAGAGAAACATTTTCCATTGTTTAGATAGCAAGGTATGAGAATGTTTGAAATGGAGGGAATGAAGATGGAAGAAATCTATCTCTTTTATTGTTCAATAAATATTATCTCTAGAAAATTGGAATGATTTGGAAGGGATATGGACACATAAAAACCATTTAAGGTGAAAATGTAAATCAACCATATTATTTCTTTGGAAACTATGACTTATTTTGTTGCGTCACTGATTGACAAGTTCTTGGTTTGCTCCCTTGTAACTCTCCATGGTGGCCTCTTCTAAGACAAAAAGAGTCAAACAAAGGAATTTGCAGCAGCAGCAAATGATGCTCTCTATATGGCTACGAAAGAGGCAGAAGAGGAGGTGGTAATTGGGGTTTGGAGAAGGAAGGGTCTTTAAGAATCTAGTGGAGGTGATACCTCTACTTCCCTTCTCTTCTCCTCATCCGAAAAAAGGAGCTAGATTTTATCCTCTCTTCCTTCCCCTTCCCCGCCCCTTCCTAATTTTCAATCCAAACACATTGGTAATTAAACATTCCGAAAAATCCCTTTGTTTTTTAAAAGCTATGTATAAGTGAAAACCAAAAGGATAATAATGTTTTTGCTCGCTCTGCCTATCCTTTCACATCGATCTCTGGAAAACGAGCATGTAACTACAAAAGCGGAAATATATTAAATGGGAGAGGAACAATATATTCATGGTATTTAAAATTTTTGTCTAAGGGAACGTTTGGCCTATATTGTTGTTCTACTCTAGTAGCTGCAATATAAGAGCAATTTTTTAATTTAAATTAAATATACCCATACATAATAATGTAAAAGCTACATCTCATATATTTGCTTGTAGCCAAACCAAAGAGAAAGTGGAAAGGGTAGGTTGATGTCATCTTTCTTTCCTGATAGTCAAACCACACCCTCCTCTACCAAGGTTAGTAGTTTGGCTCATTATAGAGATATCACATCCCCCCCCCCCCTCTCTCTTTCCATCCCCTTCCCTCACTTACCCCCTTTCTCTCTCTCTCCCTATCTCTGTTGTGAATGTGATAAGGTTGAAGCCTTGAAGGTGGGAACAATGTTGGTAAATAGGCTACTTCCTCTATCTCCCTCATAGTTCATGTTACGTGCTAACGCCAACATAAGGTAAGGTAGAGGTCTGTTGGCTTGGCCTTAATTGTCATATTAAGTGGGCACCAAGGGAGGTAATTCGAATTCCGGGAAGTTAAAAAGAGGAGAGTGGTGGTGGACTAGTGACAGGTGAATTAGCTAACATAGGGGAAGAGGGCTAGCTGGTTTAACTGACTGGTAGTGGTTGGTGGATCACGTAAGTGGGAGGTAGGACCTGGAATGTGGAATGAAGAAGAGTTGAGGACTGTGGAAGTAGAAAGGGTGTTCAAGTAAGGGCAATTTTCCCTTTTCTCCATATAAAACTTACTAAACTTGGCTTGGTTGCAAGTAACATGACATTTTCGTTTTATGAAAGTGTTGCAAGTACAAAAATAAATAAAACAAATATATGGTCATAAAATCAATGTAATATAAGTTATCAGGATTTCAAGGCAGGAGTAGACTACTTGTGCAACTTCCCTCAAAGTGGACACTTAGGGTACACATCACATTATCACTCAAAAGAAATAATTGTTCTCTCGAAGCCTAGATGTCCAATCGTTGTCTTGCCCAACCAACCCCCCACACACATGAATTGAACGAGAGCATAATAACCACAAGGATTCAGTAAGTACCTAGATATAAGCATCTCATTGTTGATGTCTGCCATTACTGTGGGTTCATAAAAGGTCATTCCAAGATGATGTCTTCTACCACCAAGAAGAACTTTGGCTCCCTTCAAAAGGAAGAGAAGATATGTTTCAGTTACTGAAGCTATAACACAGTACAATTAGGTTTGGGTACCCAGGGGAGGGGGGATACACTTCAGAACAAAAAACAAAGAGGGGAAGGGAAGTATGCTAGCGTGTATAAAAAACGAATGGTTTACCTTTGAGATGGCATCTTGAACAAATTTTTCAACCTATACCCCAACGTCATGAAAATTAAAAATTATAAGTGACCTTGTAATCTTCCATAGGTCCAACAACCATTTCTAGAACCCTGATAACAAAATTACCTTCTGAATGGCAGCTTCATTAATGAGTGGTCCCTGCAACATTTAGGCACACTTAATTAACAATAGTTGGTTAAAATCAAATTATATGCTTACCAAGCTTCTAAGATAGATTGCCACCATAAAAACAAACTGAATATTTGCATGTATTTCAGCATGGTCATCTTACAAGTAAAATCCTAGTGGACCTCAAACAATCATATAATATAACATAAACAAATAACACATCTATCAAAGAACCACACATTTTCTCAAGAAATTTATAACAAATAAACCTAACAATCAATTTCAAGTTTTCAACACAAAGTAAGATAATACATCACCTGAGCAACACCATCAACAAAACCATCCCCTACTTGAAGTTTCTGGACAGCATTTGAAAAAGCACTAGCAAATTTATCATAAATACCTGCAATTTTTAATGAAAAATTTTAGGCTTTGACACGAAAGATTGAGCGTATGACAAGCCTTAACTTGATTGATGAGTATTTATAGTAGCAACCAAAAAAAAAGAGAGAAAAAAAAAAAGATGTTACAATACATTCACTCTCTACTTTCAAGATGCTTCGGGCTTTGCTTACTTGGTAAGATTACATTTTTTATCAAAAAATTAAGGTCTTGTCAAGTGAGCAGTTGTTGGCCATTAGTTTAAAAAACTTGTTTTCCAGTTGGATATATTCTGGTTGCTTTAGTTAATTGATAGCATTAGCTGTTAACAAAGCTATTTGGTACAATCAGCTGTTTTCAATGGGACTTTTTCATATTTTGGTCCTGCTTCAAATATATTTAGGCCATTCAACCACATCAACAAGGTACAAGTCAAAAAGCTTATACAGAGAAACTATTATCCCTTGAAACTTTACGATTCTCTCAAGGAAAAAGGTCATACATGATGAATAGTCATAAATTACCACACTAGATAGCAGAAATTGTTGCTTCATCAATGTCACAGTAAAATATCACATACTAATGTTGCAATATGAGGATATCAAAATTACAGCATGGTGTTATAGACTGCCACAGACATCCAGGACTAAAAGTAAGTTTTGAGGGGTTTGCTCTTGTAACAATGCCCCTTGCCCCTTTGAAATGTTGAAATTTCTAATCACCCTGATAGTAATTAATAGTTTCTTAGATAGCCTTAGTACTTGTCCCAACTATAAGATCTTGAAAAATTCCACACATTGAACTAATATCACCGCTAACATTAAACAAAAGTTCGCTGATTAAGGAGTTTTTATTAATTTATGTTTTCCATTGGCATATATTATCATTACTATCAACAACAAAACAACAATCAAGTCTGTCCACACTACAAAGCCAAGACTTTAGGATAAATTCCACATTACCTTCTTGAACAAGGATTCTATTAGCACATACACATGTTTGTCCACTATTACGGAACTTAGTCCCTAGCTGCGAAAGATAACCAAAACATTCGTTAGCAAGACCAAGAGAGCATATGACAATAGTGCAAATTAGATCGTGCATTAGGGTACATTTTCTTTCAAACCATTTCATATGCTTTATAATAAATTTACATGGTAGTTAAACAAAAAGAAAGAAGATATTATGTAGATGAACATATCATAACATTGCAGCCATACACAACATAACATGCAAAGTTGCAAACAAAATAATGGATGAGTTATACTTCATACTTTCCCTGTTTTCATTTTTCATTGCAGTGTTTCCCTTTTTGGAAAGTTCCAAGTTAACAACATTTCCATTTATGGTAAGTTTCACTACACTCCTTGCATGTGTTCACACACCATATACTTATTTTCGCAGCATAGAAATTTGATACTAACCATTGTTACCCACATTTTCCTCTCTACTTTAGTTGTAATGACATGGGCATTTTTTTAAGTACACCTTTTACTCTCTCTAAATCTTGTGCCCATACCAAAGGAGACAAATTTTTAAAATTTTTTAAAAATATTAGATGTATTATTTTTATACATTAGTACATATAAAAATACACATTCACCGGAGGCCAAGAACAAAGCTCAAAAAATTATTCTAGGAACACTTTATAAACAATCACTAAACTAAAAAAAAATTAGGGAAAATCAGTATTTTAGCCACCCAAACTAAATTCTATAAGGAGCATCATGGTGAATATCTCCATTTTTCTTGTAAAATCAATGTGGTACTTTTTTTTTTAAAACAAATCAAAGAGGACAAGTTATTCCAATTCATGTCGGGTTTGAAGCCATGGGCTCAAACCAAAATTAAGAAGGAAAAAGTTCAAGAATTGAATTCTGCGATAGTTGCTGCGGAAGCGTGGTTGATTTGAAACCGTCAAACATTTCTGATAACAAAGGCGGAAATGATAGAAGCAATGATCGTGAAAAGAAGAGAAAGTTTGAAAAGAAGAAAGGTTACCAAAGTGGTGAAAAGTCGGGTCCAAAATCTGAAAACAAGGAAGAAAACTTTTCGTACAAGAAGTCGCGTTTTAGCGAGGGTGTTTTATTTGTAAGGGGCCACACATAGCCAGCCAATGACAACAACTTTCCGCATTGTTGGGCGAGTCCAGTGACGACGAGGAGTCCATGGAGAAAGAGCAGGAAGATGATGTTGCACCTACGAGTAACACCATGAAATTATTGAGTGGAATCAAAGGAGAGCAAAAAGAATTCGTTGATGGTCTTATGAATTGTAGGGTCTCTATAGATGAAAGCGATATGTGGGTTATGATTGATACTGGGGCTATCCATAATTTTCTTAAAGGTGGGTTAGTCCGGAAGATAGGTTTGAAAGTTCAACCATCGTTAAAGGTGGCTACCCATTATTGATGATATTAATAAAAGCATGTTGTCGTGTTAAATATTGAGTGTTCTATTGTGTTCTTTATATTGTGCTTTCATTAAGTTAAGTGTGGAAGTTAGGCTAGTTAGTTGATCTAACGCCATCACAATGAAATGAAAAATTCACTGTGACAATTTGGTGTAAGCACCAAGCAACGCACCGCTTCCCAAGCGTTGCGTCATATCGCACTCATCATGCTGCTTCGTAAGCATCATGACCGTTGGCAAGCGTCGCGTTGCTCCACACGCATCCCACTGCTTCCCAAGCGTCGCATTGCTTCGGAGTACCATGTCGCTTCGCTGCCTCGGCCAAGTGTCCACAAGCAAAGGCTTGCCACGAGCCTTCGCACAAACCCGAGTCACTAAGCCCACTAAGCACCAAGCCAACCTTTAAGAAAATTAAAGGTAGCCCTAGTATCAATCATAGCCCACATATCGCTTCCGTTTATAGTGACCCTACAATACATAAGACCATCAACGGGTTCTTTTTGCTCTCCCTTGATTACACTAAATTATTTCATGGTGTTCATCCTACGTGCAACATCATCTTCATGCTCTTTCTCCACGGAGTCGTCGTCGTCACTAGACTTGCCCAACAATGCGGAAAGTTGTCGTCGTTTAAAAGTTTCTGGCTATGTGTGGCCCCTTGCAAATAAAACAACCATCGCTAAAACACGACTTCTTGTTCGAAGAGTTTTCCATCTTCTTGTTGTCGGATTTATTACCCGACTTTTCACTACTTTGGAAACTTGTCTTCTTTCCAAACTTTCTCTTCCTTCCACATAATTGCTTCTATCTTTTCCACCTTTGTTATCAGAAACGTTTAACGGTTTCCAATCAACCAACGCTTTCGCGGCAATTATCGCAGAATTCAAATCTTGAACTTTTTGTCTTCTTGATTCGGTTTGAGCCCATGGCTTCAAACCCGATATGAACTGGAATAACTTTCCTCTTCGGACACATTGCTAATATCTAACATCAATGACATAAACTCCTAAACATACTCACGAATCGTAATAGTATGCTTAAGGTTCTTCAACTTATCCTTTGCGGGTAGGAATTGCTTTCTAATCTCGTTAGTCATCAGATCCCATGAGGATATGGGATCCTTTCTAGCCACTTGGTAGCAAACTCAGACTACAAACAGCAATTAGAGAAGAAAGAGGAGGATAGATTGTATTGATGATCAATATAATCTCTCAATACACCCTTTCATTCGAGAGGAAAGGAGCTCTCCAACTAAGCAAAGCTTAACAATATTTTTGGCATGATTATTACAACTGAATTCCCTCCCTTAAATAAACTTAGCCTTCTAACCACTCGCTAATAGATTCTTCTCTCTCTATAACAAACTCCTCTAACAAAATTATAAATGCTAATGACTCCCCAGCCCTTGCATTATTGATTGGTTTTACTGCCTTTTCCATGCTTCTTCCTAGCATACGTGACCACCGCCGGAGGCCTAGGAGTATCTCTAGCAATACCCCTCGCAACAAGCATCACCTTGTCCTCAAGGTGGAACTCAGGGAACCTAGCATCAATGTCATCATAAGGCTCCCATGTCACCTCAAATTCAGAGAGATGCTGCCATTTGATAAGGACTTCAACCAAAGTGAGGTTTCCTTGCTGATTGTTCCTACGAAGGACACTCTTCTAGCACCATGTCAGAGGTTAGCTAGTCAGGCAACGGAGAAGGGGCTTGTCCTTACCCAATTGACTTTTTGAGCTGGTAGCAGTGGAACACCGGGTGGATTTTCAGGCAACAACAACTTATACGCCACCTCCCCTACTCTCTGGATAACCGGGTATGGCCCATAATATCTCGGAGATAGCTTTTCAATTATCCTTCTACCCACAGATTGCTGACGGTATGGTTGCAGCTTTAAGAAGACCAAATCTCCCACCTCAAAATGCCCTTCTCTCCTACTCTTGTTCTCGTGGTGGCGCATGTATTCCTGAGCCCTCGGTAGATGAAACTTTAAGTCATCCAACACTGCATTGCGCTCCATTAATTGTTCTTCTACCGAGGTGTTACCTTGAGAGTAACGAATGAGATGACAAGGGTCACGGCCGTACAAAGCCTTGAAGGGGGTACGGTTGGTGGTTGTGTGAAACAAGGTGTTGTACCAATATTCTGCTAGGGAATCCAAGCAGACCAGGTCCTCGGTTATTCCTTCATAAAGCAACGGAGATAAGATTCTACCCCCTTATTAACCACTTCCGTCTGTCCATGCGATTGAGGGTGATAAGCCGTACTCCTAGCCAACTGTGTGCCTTGCATTTTGAATAGTTCATTCCAAAAAATGCTTAGGAATACCTTATCTCTATCGGAGACAATGGTGGAGGGAACACCGTGCAGCCGCACCACCTCTCGTACGAAGACTTGAGCAATCATTGGAGCAGTAAAGGGGTGCTTGAAGAGTATGAAGTGGTCGTATTTAGGGTGCCTATGCTGAAGTAGCACCGCGCTAACTCCCTGACCACATGCATCAGTCTCCAAGATGAAAGGCTGAGAGAAATCAGGCATGGCGAGAATAGGAGCCTTAGTCATGGCTGCCTTGAGAGTTACAAAGGCTTGGGTGGGTTCCAGTCGTAGTTATCCTTCTTCAACTGCTCTGTCAAGGGATGGGCAATTTGAGCATAATTTTTGATGAATTTTCTGTAGTATCCTGTCAACCCCAAAAAACCTCGTAGCTCCTTCAAGTTCCTTGGTTGTGGCCATTCTATCTTTGCTTGAATTTTGCTCTGATCAACCTCCACCCCTTGGCCTGAAATAATGTGACCCAAGTATACCACACGTTCTTGCCGAACTCACACTTTTTATGGTTTGCATATAATTGTTTTTTTTGCAGCTGCTAAATGTTCTTTGTGCTCCTCATGATTCTTGCCATAGACCAACACATCATTAAAAAAGACCAAGACAAATTTACGCAGAAATGGCTTGAATACGGTATTCATCAGGGAAGGTTGTAGGAGCATTTGTTAGGCCGAAGGGCATTACGAGAAATTCGTAATGTCCCTCGTGCATACGAAATGCTGTCTTATGCACATTCTTCTCGGACCCTGATGTGGTGGTATCCAGATTTTAAGTCCACCTTCGAAAAAACACAAGCACCATATAATTCATCAATGATAGGGATAGGGTATTTGTCGGGAACAGTCATTTATTTAAGGATTTATAATCAACACAGAAGCGCCATGATCCATCTCTTTTTTTAACCAGCAAAACAGGACTAGAATTTGGGCTAGAAGAAGGTTGGATAATACCTGCAGCGAGCATGTCCTGTACCAACCTCTCTATCTCATCCTTTGACTTTGCAGGTACCGATACGGTCGCACGCTAACCGGTCAATCCCTTCTTTCAATACAATAGAATGCTCAATTAGACGGCGTGGTGGTAGTCCATCCGACATCTCAAATACCCCCCCCCCCGAAGTCATCCATTAAGGTCTGTAAAAACAGAAAAGTAGTGCCAGAAAGTAAGTCCCTTTGTGCCTGGTCTATCGGGTGGTTCAACTCACCCAGGAACCCTTGCTTCTCCTTCTTAAGCGACCTAGAGAAGGATCACCTTGAAGTGTGACAGAACTCTCCCCTAACTGGTATTTC